AGATACACGTGGCGGGGCCGGGCCAGCGCCACCGGCATCCTCTTTGCTGCGAAATGTGGGTGGATGCTCTGATGTCTAATAAGGGGTTAGGGCCAAGGAGGGGTTTGGGCGATGGGGGCAAATCCTGGGGATGGGGGAATGCTCCGAGTGTGGGCGCCTTTGAGGCCCCAGCTCGTGAGTTCGGAGGGGTATAGGAAGGGACATGGGGATTATTATCTCATGAGCTCTGTTTCCTTAGGGAATTGAGCTAAAAATAGCCTGTGATCTTGCAGGAAAGGCTGCTGGCGTCAGGCCGAGTGGCTGGGGGCAGGGGGGGGGCCATGGGGCAGGGAGCGATGCTGGAGAGGAGCCGGGGAGCTCCTGCATGCCTCCCCGCCGGCAGCCCCCGGGGATGGGGACGGGGACGGGGACACGGTGCCGTCCCTCCAGCAACAGCCCCGCCACGGCTGCGCACAGAACCAGCCCCCCCCGTCCCGGGGGAAAACTCGCTTCATTAACCAAGTTACTTACATTTAGTGCAAATCCCCACGCGCAGCCGGGCAGATCTATCCCTCCTCTGGCTCCGGGGCTGCAGGGCCAGCGGGGACAGCAATGGGTACGATGTCCCCCCGTGGGCTTGATCCTCCTGGGGGTCTTTGGTTGAGTCCTACGCATGGATGTGGGGTACCCACCATGCTTTTAAATTGATAAATCCTCCCCGGCGTGCTTTAACCCAGGTCCATACACCCAGCCCCGACCTCCCCCCCGGGGCAGGACACCCTGAGGCAGCTCGCAAGGACCTTGGGGGACATCGGTGCAGACCCCGAGGTCGCTCCCAGCGCCATGTCCCAGGTTTATCTGAGCTGATAAAACCTTGGCCAACCCAATTCTCAAGCCCCCAGCGAGGGGCTGGGCTCCGTATCGCGCCTGCAGAAGGGATCTGGGTTGCACAAGCAAATTTTGCAGCTCATCAGCCAGTGTCCAAATATGGGACTGTCCCTCCTTCCCACGGCTTTCCGGGGACAGGGACACCGGTGGCTGCAGTGCCCCAAAACTGCCACCCTCCCGTCCTCCCCTGGCTGGGATTTATTCCCACTTGCAAAAAGCTTGATGAGAACGTGTAAAATAGGGAGGAAAATGGTAAAAGCAGCGGCTGGCATCCCCGGCAGAGCATCACCAAGGGGGACC